GTGGCGGCGGACGCGAGGAGGCGCTGGGAGCGACGCGACAATGTCGCCAGTGCAGCTAACGGGGCGACAGCAGCAAAAATATGACGGCGGCGGCGGCGGAGTGCGCTAGGGCAGGTCTGGACGGGCATTTCAATTCCTATAATTACCAATTCCGTTCGTGGAGAAAATGCCCAAACAATGAAACATTCAATTTTCCTTAAACAATATTCATTATGTCTCTTCGTCTATTCTCAAACTGCGCGTACCGCCTTAATTTACTCACGCAACGCACCACGCGTGTTGCGTCATGTGTTGCGTCAAATGTTGCGTTATGTGACAGCACCGGTTTCGATATGTTTGGTATGTAATGAAACTGTTGTACTCTGTAAATACTAAACTACGTTATCGCAATTTTAGCGAAGACTGTTCTTGTTAAATCATTTAATTTATTGCAGTATTCTGCGCGGGCATTTTGTTGTTACTAAGCAGTCTGCGTGGTAAGTTTTAGAAAACCACTTTGTATGGTTTTGTTCAGCGGTAGTTTTGCTTCTATAGGCCATTAGTCATCCTTAATTCACAAGCACATTTCGTTATTAATCACATACCGAATTTTAAAAATCATCCTGTACTTACATTATACGTCAGTAACTCTAAGAATGGTTTTGTGCTCTGTGATTAGGCACATTCTTTCTGTATTTGTTATGTGTTCGAAAATTTGCTTAAAGATAGGCGTTCACCTTTCCGTGATAATGTTTGTTATTCTAACGACAGGAAACAGCAGATAAGCTCTTTTACCAAATATCCTTTGCGTGAATGACTCTTCTTCTTTTTCCATATACGTTTCTCATTTAGACACCACCTAGGTCCTTCTTAACAGACAAGCAAATTTAAAGGTTAAATTGAGGTAGTGATTACCTCAATATTACCTACAGTATTACTTCAAAAGCACGTTTTAATAGCGTTACATATATTTAAGCTCCAAAAAATATCGTAAACGTGCTAAAGCTAGCTCTGAAAGGATTAATTTTCTGTCTGTGTGTTTAGAAAGCTTAAAAAGGGTGAATTGTTTTCCGACATATGCTAAAATACGTTGATAAGGCGTTTAGTTTTAATAAAGCGCTTTACGTTAAATTCATAATATATACAATACTTTATGTACCTCCAGTATAAAATAAAAAATCATCTGATTGATTTCTTTCATTTACACCTATATTATTATTTTACTTTCTTTTAGTAAGTAACGTAGATGATGTGCTAAGTTTTCGCTAATTTCAAATTTGGGAGCCTGTGGGCACTGTTATTGTCTAGACGTGAAGCATATTTGTTTATAAAATAAGTTCCTTTTGGTGAAATCAGAAATTTCCAAATCACTTAACTAGTCACAGTGACAATATTTAGCGATTTGATTACCCCGTCGTTACAATCTTAAAAGGAACATGGTACGCAATACGCTCTCAGTATATTAAACCTTGATTGACCAGGAGGTTGCCTATGCGCAGTTTAAACTTGTTTTGTGCCGATCAAAAACTTTCTATTTGGATCCTTTCTGGGGACGTTCTCCGAGAATCCAATGCTCTGTAGTAAAATAGTTGCGGGGTCTTGACAGCTTGGAGCTATAGAGTATGCTGACTTGTAGCATGTCGTGCTCTGTTTAAATCGCTCCATGAGCCCTTGAAAGCGTGACAAGTAGTGTTCTCTCTTACCAGTAACTTTACATCAAAGAAACAAATAGAATTAGCTCTCTGGAAGTTGGAGTGAGCAATGCACTTCACGTTAATAGTTAACAGTGTTTGGGGAGAGGAAGAGCACACTGAGACTAGGGGTTCGCGAAGTGGGATCAACACATCTGTGCAGTTTCCTCTTAGAGTTCGCAAATGTTCTCATTCGTGTGTGCATTTTACTTTCTCGCCTGTGGGCACCGTTTATTATTTAAAGAGTTTAATAAGTTTATAAAGTATTTTATTTTTAATTCATCGCGCTGTTTGCAATGTTTATTTATTTGTTCTTGTTTTCTGTAAAGGGAGATTACAAGTTATTTACGGGTACTTTTTTTAACTCCTTTTATTCTATATCTTTTTACATATTTTTGGTGCTCATTGCTTTAATTAAAATGTAAAACAATATTATTTTAGCGTGATATCAGAACCATAATTTTCTAAAGAATACTCCTTATTGCTAAATTATTTTCTTCCTGACCATTGTCAACCATTTTATTTTGCTTAGTGCAGCCCATCGTTCAAGATCTTGATGTGCAAAATCTGAATCGTTCTTTCTCTTCCTATAAATCTTTTTTAATACATTGCTATCAACTTGTGTCAATCTAACATGGCTACCGTTGTTCTCAGAGGGCCCAAATGGCAACTCTTTACCGTATGTTCCTCCACGACTTCTATGGTTCTTTTTTCCAGCTGAACATATGTATACAGCGGGCATTATAGGGTTGTGGTCAAGTGAATTTGGACATGACGCAAGTTATTACGTTGCAGGCCACTTCTGACGTGGTAACATAACAAATTGAAAAATGACATTTACTTCTACATCCTTCCATTCACGTCACCCTTTCAAATAAAAAACTTCAAGCCAGGTATTATAATTGAATTGTGTTGTGACGTAGAAAATATATGTCATAATTTTTTGTTTGGATATAAGAGCTTGTCGGAGTAGAAGAGAGGAAAATTACTCATAAAATGTGGTGACTCCAATTGACTAGCAAAGTTTTACTCGAATCAGTATCAGAACGGAGCTACATGTTATGAAGGTCTTGAATTCAACAATGTTTTAACAGTAAGAACATACAGCGTAATGACAGCTTCTCATGTTTCAACACTGTCGGAATTGAAGTCACGCATGGTCAAAGATCGTTCATGGCAACAGAGTGATTTCGTCGTTTGCGCTAATC